CATCTATCTGTGATCTGAGCTGGCTGAGACTCAGGTGAATTATGGCATAAAGACCCTGTTGGAGGAGCTTTCCTATATGTCTCTGTTTCCCTCTCTCATGGAAGATATAAACAAACATACAAAAAATTGCAGATTTTCAGTGAGCCTAATAATCTGCATTTTGGGGGCTGGCAAGTGGCATGGTGGTTGAGGCACTGGACTCCCACATGGCTGACTGCAATTAGAGACCTGGACCTGGTGGCATATGTTCTCATTCTCTGTCTCTCTGTCTGTCTCTGATCAAATGGAAGAATAACAATAAATAAAGTTAAGTAATTATTTAAAAATAGAAAAGGACTCTGCATTTCTAACAAATTTTCAGGTGATGATATTTCTGCTGGCCTGAGAATAACATTTAGAGTAGTGAAGGTTCAGAGTTCAAGCTCTGGAGCCAGTCTATTCGTGAATCCCAGCTCCATTACTTATGTTGTAAAACCTTCTCCTCGTATACCTCCTCCACATGTGCAAAACAGTGAAATTATTACAGGGGTGTTATCATGATAAAATAAAATAATCTGTAGATACTACTTAGAACAGTATCTGACACAGAGAGAGAACTCAAATGTTATCTCTTATCATTATTGGAAATATTAAAAGCATATATTGTATCCTATTAGCAAGGCATTTATAGAATTGACTGAACTAGCAGAAATGCTAAATAAAATCCCATCATTCTTTTCTAGGCAGTCACTATAACATCACTAAACATCGAAGGACATTAAATACATAGGTTAAATCAACTATCCAGCTTTATTAAATACATAAATCTGAAACTGCTCTAAAAGAATTTGCATGAAGCTGGCTTGGTCTATGATATTTAAAAAGTCTATTTTGTTTCTATGTCAGAAAACTTTTTTAAACTGCAGGGACGCGTTGCGTTCCAATTTATTTATCTGAACAGCTTTCTCTGAATTTAGAAATGATCATTTTTTCATTTAAAAATTTCATATTTATGAAGTAGATATCAGAACTAATATTACACCAATAATAATGATGATTTCAAAGTTTGTTCAATAAAGAGCATTGTTATAGTCAAGTTTGTAGGATTTAACTAAGTCCTTCATAGACAAACATACACATTTTCAAATTACTACATGATGTAGCACAATTATCTCTTGCTACTGAGGACTGGGGTTGAGAAAGACTATTACTAATCAGAATCATTATGATATAATAATGATGTTATGTGGATTCGACGGGTAGATAGGAAAAGTAAAGTTGGGACTAGAAATGAAAATAAAATGTCAAAGCACCTTTCCAAATGAAAACTGTAAAGAAATGTATCTAATTCACATTGGTTTAAAATAAAGATATAAAACAAATAAAGTTTGTTAGGAAAGAAAGATGAATGTTCTCCTTGTCATTTATAAAAACCAAAAAAGGTAAAAACTGGTGATTCAATCAAGGAGCAAATGAGAACTATGAAGTATTTTCAGTTGGTAGATTTTTTTTTTTTTAAGAGAGCTTTTTGCTATAGAGTACATGAACTCATGAGAGAGACAGAGAGAAACAAAGTGAGAAAGCCGCGGGGTCCGGGACATAACCATTATGCCATCTGCTGGTCTCAGTTGGTAGATATTTTTAAGAGTGAGCAAAAAAACGTCAGTAAATAATTTGCCTGTCTTTTACTTTTCTAACACAGGTGATTTAAAAAGAAAAATTGTGTGGCAAATTCTATTATGTCTATTTTTCTCAATTAAAACTAGGTTCTATGGGGCCAACAGATGCCATCGCAGTTACACTGCTGGATTCTCACATAGTCCACCACAGTTCGAGTCCTGGACCTGCTGGCTTGAAAATCATGTCAGGTGTGTGTGCATGCATGCTCAAGATCCCAGGAGGAAAATGGAGGTGAAGGGATCATGGCATGGCCATCCTCTCTAGTGGATGATTTCTTGCTTTCCCTCTCACTGTCTCTGCCTCTCTCTCTCTCTCTCTCTCTGGTAAGCACACATGCCCTAAGGCAAAACCTCTAAAAAATAAAATAAAATAAAAATTGTAAAAGAATGATGGAAGATGTCAAAAAAAAAAAAAAGAAACTAGATTCTACATGGCAATACAGACCTGTCCTGTAAATTCATGACAGATAATAATCAAGGAAAAGGGAAAAATGTGGGTGAGTAGATTTTTTTTCCCTCTTCTTTCCCTTTTCTTCTCGTAGACAGAGGGATGGGGTAAGACATGCTCCTGGCTACTTCTTTAATTCCTGGAACTTTTTCTAAAAAAAAATACATTACCCATCAGATTCTGCTTTATGCTTTATCTCCTATGACAACTGTAACTTAAAAAAAAAAAAGATTTAAAAAACTGTAAAAAATGTTTTGTATAAACAAATAGCATATGGAAGTCATAGGCAGGGTTTACCTGTACTCAATTACATCAAGTAAAGATTATTCAATAAAATAAAACTTGTGCATTAAATGAAAAAAAAATGAATTTGGGGAATTATTCTCAATATTTGTAGAGGGTGGTAACCAACAAGATGAAATTGTTAGGATTAAAGGTATGGGAAGAACCCCAGTCAAAATGTCTAATATTAAAAAAACAAAAAATGATAAGTGTGGGCAGGGGTGTGGTGAAAGGGGAACTCTTTTACACTGCTAGTGGGAATGTAGATTGGTTCAACCACTATGGAGAATAATTTGGAGATTCCTCAAAGATCTACAGATAGATCTGCTATATGATCCAGGGATCCCACTCTTCAGTATCTACCCAGAGGACAGAAGAATTCTTCATTGGAAAAGTGCTTGCACATCAATGTTTATTGCGGCACTATTCACAATTGCTAAGTCATGGAACCAACCCAAATGCCCCCATATGGAGGAATGGATTGAAAAACTATGGTACATATACTCTATGGAATACTATTCAGTAATAAAAACCAACAGAACCCTGACTTTTGACAGAAAGTGGAAGAATATGTAAGATGTACTGCTGAGTGAGGCAAGACAGGCTATGAAGGAGAGACATTGTATGTCCCCACTTAACATATACCATATGTCTGTATTCTACAACTGAAACTGATTGATTAACGGTTGAACAAACACAAGAGATGGGTGTGAATTTCAGATGAAGTGTATGTGGAGGAGTGAGGCCTAACGAAGGGCATTTGGAGAAGGGATACAGAGGTAGAGCATTGACGAGATAGGGAGGTGGTGTTATCTGTTGAAGATATTTTGATCAACGGGTCTGGGGAGAAATGTGCACATATCGAAATGGTCTCATTGTAAGCCAAACAATATGATTGAAAGTATACACAAAAAATAAATGATAAATAATGTGAAAAAAAAAGATAATAAGACAGTGGGAATTGGAGGGGGTGAAGAGAAGAGGATAAAGATAGCAAGAGAACAAATAGAAAGGCAGGACGTCAGTAGGAAACAGATATGGCTTATTTCCTGTTGATGATGACATGTATAGTATTCTCAACTGGATTGGTCTGAGAAGTATTTCATGATAGGTAAAGTCTTTTTACAAGCAAAATGAGAAATAGTGATTGGCTGTTTAAAAAATAAAATAATAATTAGAATAATAATAATAATGATTGGGAAAAACATAGAAAAGATATTGAATGATGAAGTGGAGAGATTAATGTCTCTGTATTGACTGACATGCATGGCATTCCCTTTTGAAAAAGCAATGTAATACACTGTAAAGTTATATGTAATCCAATGTAATATAAAGAAGATTATGATAATAATAAAAATAAATTTTTTAAAAAAAGGTATGGGAAGAATAATGTATGAACAGAATTATACCAACAGCATGTCTTGTTATTTGGGTTTATGTTTTTTTGAATCAAATACTTGAAAAACAAAAATTTACTAAAAATAACTGAGCTAACTTTTTTTACTTATAAGGCAGGTATTAACTGTCTTCTCACTCCAGAAAAGCAAGGAATTCCACTTCAGTGTGACCTATTTATGCCTCTTAGATTTATCATATGCATTTTTTTAATGACCCCAAACCAAAGGAAATGTAGAAACCTATTTGAAAAGTTGACATTAAGGTTGTGACACCAACCGAAACAGCAAGCAAATTTAAAGTTAAACTGACACACAATCCCCAAATCAGTCTGTTACACTCCTAATTTAAAAAACAGTTACTCTGTGAAATAGTGATGGCGTGTCAACCTCTACTTTGAAACTCCTGAATTTTGTCATTTGGTGTTTGTGTCACAACCTTAATATTATTTAAATATACTTTTAATATCTATTATTTAAAAAATTTCTTTGAATTGAAGCTACTCCAAAGCTTTGAAGAAGCCAACCTCAAAGCACTGCATTCCTAGTGTGCCACTTTTATTAGAAGTAGTGCATAAAACATTTGCTGTTGACAAATCTAATTCATTAAAAGGTGAGATGGATGCATTTTAAAATAACTGGTTGGCATCATTATCTGCAGTGCCTTTTATAAATTATTCCTCTTTTCCCTTTTGACTGAACTTGTCACAGTTCCCTTTCAGAGTCTGAGTGTTATGCCTTATAGTCAATGCTTTCAACATGTTTAGACAAGTCACAAGTTAAACAAGCAGTGGTATTTTATTTCTAGAAATGATAGAGGGTAACAGAAATACTTATGGATTAGGTCACCCAATTCGTTGATTTTTTTTAACCAAAGGCAAGTAAGTCAGTGGTAGTTTCATCTCACACAAAGGATTTTAAAAATAAACGTATACTATTTGCGTGGAACGAGGCATTTCAAAGTAAGGAATGTAAAGAGAGATGCTGGCATCCCTGCTGCACTACTGTGCAGAAGACTTGGTTTCAAATTGAATTGTGTTTCCCTGACATCAGAGATCAGGTACATCACAAGCTGACAGCTCGCTGGCACACTAACTTCCTAAAGGAAAATGCTAACTGTATTCTCTTAAGAGGCCAAAGGAACAGAATTATATATGCCTTCAGGGAAACTGAAGAGGCAGAGTACAAATTATTCAAAATATGAAAAGCATTTCTTACCTTATTGTATTTCTGAAGACTCTACGAATGAGCTGGTCTTCTAACCCTAAACAGGTAGAAAATTACTTCCATACAAGCTGTCAGTAGAAGAACTATCCCTTCTTTACCATCTTTAGTTGAGCTTCTTCCAAAATACCCACAGTGTCCCTATAAAACAATGGGACAAAGCTTTATCACTACTGCAGTAACAAGAGGGCATACTGACACCATTTGTTGACTACACTAGTAATGATGATATCAAGATTAAATTATGATAAATAATTTAATTATGATCAATAATTTAAAATTATTAAATTCTTATTCAAGGGCTTGAACCATGAATAAGAAATACTGGAAGTATTATACATAAAGACATCCTGGGGGCCAGCAAGTGGCACAGTAGTTAAGATGCTGGGCTATGACATGGTTGTCCATAGTTCAAGTCCCAGACCTGGCAGCTTGAAACTCAAACCAAATGTGTAGGCATGCATGCCCCAGATCCTGAGAGGAGAAAGGAGAAGAGCTTGTGGTGTGGCCATACCCCCTGCAGGGTGACTTCTTGCTTTCTATTTTTCCATTTCTCCTATGAGTGCATGCTCCCTATAGCAAAAAAAAAAAAAAAAAGATATCCTGAGGATGGGGTATCTCAGAAAAACTTATTAATAAGACACCTTCAGATTGTAGGCTCATGGATAATAAGGGTACCTAGGAAAATCCATATTTAAAACATTTCCTTTATTTTACTAAAAATTGATCCATCCTAAAGAAATATACCACAAAGAGAGCAATAGAAAGTTATACCACATAATACAAGCAATGCCACTCCACCCATTTTTTTTGTTTGTTTACTTACCAGTTGCCCTAGTCTGTTTATGAAAACTGTTTCCCTCTCTACTCTTCTGAGTGACTTAATTAAAAATAGATTGCTTAGGGCCAGCAGGTGGCATGGCAGTTAAGGGCACTGGACTCCCACATGGTTAACTGTAGTTGGGAGTCCTGGACCTGGCAGCTTGCTTTCTTACTTTCCGTCTCTCTCTTACTCTGTCCCTCTCTGGTCAAATTTTAAAAACACATAAATAAATAAAGTTAAATAAAATAATTCTTAAAGGAAAACAGATTGCTGGGTATCTGGTTAAAACTAAATTCATGGGAAAACAAAACAAAAACTACCTTCATGGGGCCAGAGAGTGCATAGTTTTAAAGCAATGGGCTGGGAGACTGATCCTTCTTGTTACAGTTCTGGATTCATATCCAGAGACCTAACTGAGTATGCCAGGCACGTATGTGCCCATGAACAAGGACTGGCTGAGACTGCAAATGCATTGTGGTATAAAGACCTTGTTGATATTGCTATCTCTCTCTTCAGCTCAGAGAAGACATTTAAAAAATTCAAAAGGATCCTGATTAAATTGATTTACTATTTCAGATTCTGTGTTTTTTTGTTTTGTTTTGTTTTTAAGTTTTTGTCATAAGGTGTGTGCGCTTGCCAGAAAGATACAGACAGACAGAGAGAGGGAGTGAGGGAGGAAGAGAAAGTAAGAAATCACCTCCTGATAAAGATCCTGTTGCTATCTAACTAAACAACACTCTACTTCTAAAACCTGCTTGCAAATAAGTATTTACTATCTAACTGACTGCTCTTCCGCCTCTGCGAATTGCTTGTTTCAATAGACTTGTGCTCTCTATAGGATGTGGTTTTTGAACTAGGGAAGGTTACAAGCTGTTTTGCAACTTTTCTCATTTCCTTTGACTGCAATACTTGTGAACCCTAACTAAGCGTGCCTACCCTCCCCCAAGCCAGAAACCTATATATCCCCTGTAACTTCTCCATCTCAGGGCCCATACTTTGGAGCACAAACTCCTCAAGATCTGCTGGCATAGGAAATCTGAGTTCCCCTACTCTGAGTGGCACTTGGTTTCTTGGTGCTCTGTTTCTGCAACATTTCTGGTTCCCTGACCAGGAAGCCCACCATGCTGGCCCTTGAGCCACCGGTTCTACGGGAAGAACCTGGCAGTATGAAGGTGCCCCAGAATTGAATGAGACAGCACCATCTGGACTTTTCTCAAGTCTTCCTTCATTGGGGGCCCTGACATCCCATGTAACTGACCCTGACCAGACTCGATAGAGAGATAGAACAACGTCCAGGATGAAAACATTAGGCTAACTCACAGGCTGAAACTTCTGGATAAGGTAAGATCCCAGAACTCACGAACCCAGTCAGGAAGCGGAGCTTGATCACATCCTGTGGTCTCCTATCAGAGCCATCAGGTCACTGTGTGGTCTCCCGTCAGAGCAACCAGTTCAGGTCACTGTGTGGTCTCCCATCAGAGTCACTAGTTCAGGTCACTGTGTCGCCTCCCGTCAGAGCCACCAGATCAGGTCACTGTGTGGTCTTCCATCAGAGCCACCAGTTCAGGTCACTGTGTGGTCTCCCATCAGAGCCACCAGTTCAGGTCACTGCGTGGTCTCCCATCAGAGCCACCAGTGTAGGCTGCTGTGTTGTCTCTCATCAGAGTCACCAGTTCAGGGCATCACATGTTCTCCTGTAGGAGCCACCAGCTGAGATGCTACAAAGGGGGGAGGGCACTGTAAAAACTCTGGGCCACCAGTTAGGGACCTCCCAAAAGGGAGAATGTGCTGAGATAAACTCTGGTTCTCCCACAGTCTACAATTAGAGCCACTGGTCAGGCACCTTCCCAAGGCAGAGAGGATACTGTGACAAACTCTGGAATGATTATGTGAATGTGTGTGTGTCAGTTTCTGTGGCCCCACTATCTCTGGACCTCAGGGTCTGAGTGGGCCCTTACCTGCAATTCTGTGGTCAATTCATAAGGCTCAGGATGACGCATGGTGCAGGGGGACCTAGCCCCTCCATATATACCGTGTCTGAGTCAGGGGCTTTTACTGACTTACCAAAGATAAGAGGCACCCACAGTTCCACAAGGGATGCAGCCAGGTAGACACTGATTGGTTACCTCTTCAAGGAGACACACATCCCATGTTTGTCTTGTGTTGCTGTTGTAAGGGGAAATACATCAGGAGGGAGATTTCTCTACATATCCAAGAGATCCTGGGACCTGAGCTCTCAGACTGACCTTCTTTGAAAGCATTTCCAATTTGTTTCTGTCCCAAGAAGAGCGAGCCCTAATCATTTGCCTTATCTGTGGGCTCTAGGCTTGTCTCTTCTGTCTCAGCAAGGGGAACTGGCTCTGGTGAGATGCCCTCTCATGCTGGTTGACTGCAGACAAGAGGTCCTCTTCCTATCCCACCTCTTCTGCCACAGGCCCATATTTCCCAACCACATTCCCTCTGGCCCCACTGAAAGAAAAGAATTTTTCATCCAGGACTCCCTGAGACTTCCTCACAGGTTTGCTCTACTCTGGACATGATTGATCACTCTGACCTCCACGCCCCAGGACTCCTCACATGCCCATCTGCCTGATATCAGGCCTCAATTCACCTGGAGGTGATGATATTCTTGCCATGGATACAAGGCCAAACCTAGATACCCCCAGGCCCACTGGGACCCAGAGCAATTGCAAGATCTGGCTTTAAAAAACTGCCTTCATCAGATAGTGAAAAGTACTTTTTGGGAATATCATGTCTTTAAGGAGTGGTGATGCCAACAATATATGGGCTATAATCCCCACAAGTACCACAATGGGCTGCTGCAAGTAAAAACGTACCATCCTTAACTATATGATTAAAAATTTCAAGAAAGGCTTCTCTAGGGATTATGGCATCAAGCTAATGCCAGGGAAATTCAGAACACTGTATGAAGTTGAGTGGCCCACTTTCAATTGTAGACTACCCTTCTGGAAGAACCCTCGACCTCTCAATGATCAAGGCAGTCTATCAAGTTGTTACTGGGGACCCTGGACACCCAGACCAGTTTCCTTACATAGATTCCTGGTTGCAGATGGCCCAGGCTCTGCCCCCTTGGGTCCAGTTTTGAGCAAACTCACAGGGACAGTGTAGAGTTTTTGTGGTCCATCAACTGAGGACCCCGAAACCTTCCAAACTCAACTACCAAAGGAATACAGAAGAACCATAGCTACCCCCTCCATATGTGCCAACTGCATTCCTGGCTAACACCCAGGGACTTCTCCCCAATTGTCCTCTGCCGTATGTATCTCCTCCACCAGAAGACCTGCATCCCAGTCCAGCAAGGATCTTGGACACAGAACCAATTAGTAGGCAGCTCCAATCTGTGCAACAACCTCCAGTCCTCCATGTGCCACTGTGCTAGATAAAAAGGCCTCAGAAACTTGGCCTCAATGGAGAACTCCAGGAAGGGTGCTCTCTTCTCTATTATAAGCTTTTCAGTACCACAACCTTCTAAACTGGAAACATTATACGCCATCCTATTCAGAAAAGCCACAGGTGCTCATAGGCCTTCTGGAGTCCATTTTTCAGATGTATCAGCTGACCTGGGAAGATTGCAGACAATTGCTCCTCACCTTGTTCAACACTGAAGGGCATAGGCACATCCTGTTGGAGACCCAAAAGTAACTCTAAGACGAGGCTCCAGCTAGAGAAGTGGACCCTGCTACCTGGGCAAGTAAGGCAGCACCAGATGAGGACCCCTGGTGGGATACCACTAGGGGGGAGAGCTGGGTCAACACCGAACAATACTGAGCGACCCTTCTTCAGAGCCTCAGAATCAGGGCCAAGAAGCCAACTAATATGTTCAAAACCATAAAGGTCGTGCAAAAGGCTGATGAATCTCCCTCTGATTTCTATGAGAGACTCCGGGTCTATACCCCTTTGACCCAGAAGCACCCAAGAACAAACCCATGGTCAACACTGCCTTTGTCTCGCATTCTTATACCAATATCTGAAGAAAATTCCAGAAACAGAAGGGCTTTGCAGAGATGAATGCTACTCAACTATTAGAGATAGCCAGCAAGGTGTCCATGAACTGAGACCATGAGGTTCAGCGAGAGGCGGACCAGGGCATGAAACAAAAAATGTCCCTTCTGACAGTCGCACTCAGAGGTCCTGTCCTGATGGGATGTCCAAGTTCCTCACAAAATACAGGAGAAAAAGGAAAGCACCAACCCCTCTTTGAGCCTACTGCAAAGAGCCTGGACACTGGAAGAATGAATATCCTAAATACAAGAGGGAACCACTGCATAGGAAAGGGGGTCCATCTCCAAGAAGGCCA